GTGTGCTTACTCTCTTCGTCGGAAACTTCTCCGATCTTCTCGGTCGACGATACTTCATGATTGCTGCGAATAGCATAGGCATTGCAGGCTGCCTCGTTGCTTCCAGAGCTACGAGCACGGCAATGGCTATCGGAGGCAATGCAATCAGTGGTGTGGCTTTGGGGCTCAGTTATTTGGCCGTCCCCATGCTTGCCGAAATGGTACCCAAAGTCAATCGTGGACCCATAATTGCTATTGCCGGCGCCATGAGCGGCATAATCTCCAGCGCTGGTGGCGTGGGGAGTGCAGCTATGCAGAAAGAAAATGTTGGCGGAATTCATGAAGGTTGGAGACCTGCCTTATACATGAACGCTGGGCTTTGGTTTCTCAGTCTGGTGTTGGTCTTTTTCTTCTACCATCCAGGCGAGCGACCTAATCCGGAAGGCTACACAACCCTGCAGAAAATCAAACACATCGATTGGCCCGGTTTAGTCCTCGGTGCATCTGGTCTTGTCATGACGCTTCTGGGTCTCGCAATGGGTGGCAACACCGCCCCTTGGAATTCTGCTAAAGTTCTGGTCCTTCTCATTGTTGGCCTCTTCCTTCTGGCCGCTTTTGCGGTGTGGGAATGGAAATTCGTCCCCGAGAGCTTGGGCCTGTTCCGTCGAGAGCTCTTCCAGCACCGCAACTATGCGCTGGCACTTACTATGCACTTCATTGAGGGCGCCTCAATGTTCACTGCCAATACCTTTTTCCTTCAGCTGCTCATCAATGAAGGCTTTGTGCAAACTATTTGGACAGCAACTCTGTACCAATTGCCCTTCTCTGCCGGCGCCATGACCGCGGCTTGTGCGGGAGGGTACTATCTGTACAAGACAAGGGAAGCAAAATGGCTCACTATTTTTTCAATGTCCGTCATGGTCGCCGCTCAAGCACTGCTGTCGGTAATTCAGCCAGGCATGAATCAAGCGGCTTTCTTTGTCCCAGAAGTAGCGATTGCCATGGGAGTAGGAGCTTTGGGCACTTGTGTCGTCTTGATTGTGACCTTGGCTGCACCCAACAGATACATCGGCCACGCGGTCGCCTTGGCCACCTCGATCCGATCACTTGGTGGGGCAGTTGGTCTCGTCATGTTTGCACAAGTGCTTCAGTCCAAGGTTAAAGAACGTCTTGTCCCAATGTTCACGAAGGCCGTGTTGGAGGCGCAATTGCCGCCTACCAGTGTCGTGCCCCTACTAAAAGCGATGCTGACTGGAGAAGAATCAGTCATTTTGCAGGTTCCGGGCGTTACGTTGGCGACTATCAGTGCGGCAACCCGAGCCATCCATCAGGCATATGCGGACAGCTTCCGCTATGTATGGTGGGCGAACCTTCCATTCGGAGTCGTCTCAATCGTGCTTGCATGCTTTCTCAAATCAACGAGGAAGCAAATGACGATAGAGGTCGTCAGTGCCGTGAAAGAACGAGGCCCAAATGAGAGCACCAAGGATGGTGCGAACATGGAGTGAGCGGACAAAATCCTCAGTTTATCAGCAAAGCACTGGAGGACGTTGCCTCCTGTCCATGCTTGAGACGATGGAGGGCTGTATGGAGATCTCAATGCCGGGGCTTTAGATTGCCACATTTTCAGGACAGTCATGCGAAGCTCGTATCCTTAGCATCGACACAAACCGGGTGTGCCTGGCCAACCCACGTTCTCGAACGGAAGATATACAAGACTACTTTTACCGAGACAGACCGTGGTGATCAAGAGCCTCGAACTCGACATACCAAAAGGCTGTATCTTTCATTGAGATGCTTAGTTCAGTTTCCCTAATCGCAGTAATTCGTATCAATACTTCATTTGTTCCCACCACCGCCAATGCTAATCAGTAGTCGTTTCGGCGCCGTGGTGAACTTTCAAGGGGCTCAAGTGTGTGGCGTCGACATTCACGAGTTTGACGGCCCGTCCTGGGCCTCGGCATACCCAGTATGGGCGTTTGGGCCAAGGGAGCCTCGACACTTCCCGTGTGCCAAGCACATATGCAATTATGCAGGCGAGATTGTGAGAATGTCTGTGGTTGGATGGTGACCCCGCCCACGGCTATGGTCGGCCAAGCTGCGCCTTACTTCATTGTCAGTTAAGTTTTGTACTCCCCATCGATACCACCACAGCTGATACGCGCCCGCAACGCCAATTTCTGGGGTTTCCTCGACCACCTCACCCCTTCGCTGCCGCCGCCACCGCTGCCAGCGGACGACAATCTGCTCCTGTAACAAGTCCAGATCTGCGCGCGACTCCTGCCAATGTTCCTGGAGAGGCAGAAACTGCACAGCCAGAAGACAACAAGACACCCAACATTTAGTTCTCGCCATGCCCAAGACGGCGGGCAATGAATCAGGGACAAGCATCCCGGACAACAGAAGAGATAAGAAACGAGCGACGGACCGTGTCGCACAACAAGCCCATCGTAAGCGTCAAAAATTACAACTAGAGGAGTTGCGGGCGGAAGTCGAGTTTCTAAAGACAACACACACCTCAAAACAGGTCCAAATCCTTTTGCAAGAAAATGAAGCACTGCGCCGCGAGGTTTGTTGAGAATCGAATCCCTCTCCGTCCACACCATTACTTACAGTGCCAGCTCGAATCACTTCGCTCCTTCGCCTCCAGTGTAGAGTCGCTTGTTCTGGCCCGCAACAGCTGCGACAACAGCCGAGAAGGCTCAATTCGATGGGTTCGAGCCTCTCCCTCGTCGCTCAGTCCGACGAAGAGTACCATCATTCCAGCAAAACCCGATTCATGCGCTACCAATGACACCCATCACGATGATATCCGAAACGAGCAAGCCATCGATGATGAGTTCTGCGTCTCAGTGGACCTGGTCGGTGATTCGCCCAGCTCCAACTCAGCCAAAGTTACCACACAGGTGGCTTCGCGTTCCGCTGGATCTACACAGGATTTACACAACCTCGGTTTTGCTTCAGCCCCATATATGAATCCTTACAGCATGCGAGCCTCAGCCACGGAAGACGTACGTGGCTTCGGACCATCCACTTGGGATCTACCCGCAGATATCCTGTTCGGAGACTATTCTTCTCAATTGCAAAATTATCCGGCCGGAAATCCGAGCGGAAGTGTCCCAAGTGGCGTACAATCTCAGGAATGTGTTCCTTTCGCCAATGACAATGAATCATCGGAACTTGCGGTTGCGACCCAGCCTGGTATCTATGAAACTGATCGGTTCGTGCCCGAAACGGCCTTGCCATACTCGTTTGACAATATCCACGAGGAAGTCCACATGCTGGGCAGAGCACCAATCGCATCCGACGCTGGTGTGTCGCATTCAAACTGCAAGCAAGACAAAAGGGCTCAAACGATTCAATCCTGCTCACCAAACCCTCCATTGCCACAAGATGCGCCACTGTACAACATGTTGATGGGGGTAAAAGAGGATCTTTTCAACGCCAGCTCTGTACCTCGAAACGCTGTTTCAGAGCATTTGTCAAATCTCCTGGCAACTGGCTTGAAACGGATCATGAGGACTTGGCTTCGATGTCGACGTGATGTAACATCCGCCGGCGTCTTCTACATGATGCACCTTGCACTCCAGTGGCACGTGCTGCAAACGGCGGAGGCACTCCAGAAGCTCCCTGTTTGGTACCGCCCAACGGCGATGCAGAAGGGCGTCCCACACCCTATCATCATAGATTTCATAGCATGGTATGTATTGGTGGCCGCAGCCAGCTGTAACGCTTCGAGCTCACTTATCACTATCCAGGCCACGGCTCCGTGACGAATTCATTGCGTTTTGGCAAATGCACCCGCAGCGATTGCATGAGGTAGCTTTCGCTATTGGAACCTGTTTGGAACTTGACTTTCAGCCTCCAAACGTGGCAGATAATAGGAAACGGGAAACGTTCGGCGAAGCTGTTCGCAATATGAGGAGGTGGAGGCTGAAAGCCCTGTTTTTCGAAACGTATCCTCAGTGGGAAAAGGCATATTTGGAGTCACTTGCCGCTTACTGTTGAGGAGGCCTACCGGCCGTCCTCTCTCCAGATATGAGCTTGCGATCAGTGTAATTTTCGTCCGGAGAGGGTCGACGGCGTTGGTCGAAGCAGGAAAGAATCCCAAACTGCATCCATGGAGGTGCCGCAACTAGGGTAGGAAAGTTCCATAGGGCGAACGCTACCAGTAATGACAAGAGATTACCAACCGCCTTTACCAGCCATCTCTCTACTCTACCGGCCACCTCTTGGACTTTAGAGGAATGCTCCTGAGTGTACTCGGTAGGCAAAAGGGTATATGGAGGAGAAGGAACTCGCACAAGTGCGAGAGAAGTAAGACAAGCAATACGCAGGAATCTAGGCAATAGATGCACTTACATGGAGTCCTACGTTCCACAACAATCGGTCGCTTGCCGACCCTGCAGCCATGATAGCGCTCTCCTAGTCGACAAATTCAAATTGGGGAATCAGGCAAAATGCCTGAGAGAAGTCGCCGGTTCCTTTTTGGTATTGCTCGTCCTAGATCCCGGCGTGCTTAGTTCTGCTAATGTGTGAATACTCCGAGGCAGAATGGCAGGAGGACAACAATGCGCCCGTTGTGCTTCCCAAATAGGTTGAGTGTAATCAAGTGCGCAATGGCATTCAATTGCCTTTTCATCCGAACCTTGTTGAACTAGCGACTTGCCGTGAATTGCATGTCTACTCCTGTCTATCTGCGCTCCTCCTGAGGGCGTTTCTAGCCGTTCAAATACAGATCCCTCGGTGAACTGAAAAGTTCTCCTGAATCTAGCCACCTGTTGGAGATCTTACCACCGAGACAGTGGGAAGACTAATCTCTCACCATTCGCGTTCCAGAACGCCTCGATCGCAAGTTGGCCCTTCTGACGAACCCACTTTCGTGGACTTCGGCTCTCTACGGTCGATTTTTAATCCATTTGAGCTAGTTCGATAGCGCCGTGTCCAGGTCCAGTACGGGCTGGCTTTCTCGAGCGGTCTTGTTGCTGGTCATGACTATAGATTCTAGTACCATCACAAATCTAGGAGCTGTTTGCTTCCCCTGCCGCATCGACAATAGCCTTTGCAACAGCTTCCGGCATGCTCAGGGTCGGTAAATGTCCTGTTTGAAGCTCAACCTCATTTATCCGAATTCCCTGTCTCCGTAAACGATCCACCATTGTCCGTTGCGCATGTGGTGGAATGATTTCGTCCTTTGCAGCACATATATAGGTCACCGGGACAGTCTTCCATGCAGGAAAAGTGACTCGTCCCGCAAATGTTACGGCAGCCTGTGGCCGCAACGTGTCGAAATACTTCGATGCTTCGTCCGCCGGGAGGTCAGAGAAGATTTTGGTCGGCGAACCAGCTGCAGCTGGAGCGATCCAGCCACCCTGTCAACATAAGAATATGGTTCTAAGAGTATGAGGGGAGGATTCATCACTTGCCTGTCCGGTGAGGTATAGTGCCGTCGTTGTCAAGCCTGACAAGAACGCGTTGGAGACATAGCCAACAGCTAGGTTGGATCTGACTAAATTGCCCAGAATCGTCGGCAGCCTTTCCGCCATCGTGAAGCTGTGCATACTCATTCCCTTACTCGGGATCACGCTGGCAATGTAGACCAATGCGACCACTCCTCCTTCTAGACCTTGTGCCGCCCTGCTTGTCTTGTCCTGACCTTTGACTGCTTCAGTCCCAGGGAATCCGCCATATGAATGCATCACCACCACGACATCTTTGCCGCGACCGGTCGCCGCCTCGATTGTTCTGGCTACCTGCTGTGCATCGTCATGCATAGTGTGCAGCTTAGATGAACCTGTCTTCTCGACAGGCACAGAAGGGTTACGCAAAGCGTGGACCTCCCCTCCAGTTGCTTGCAATATGTCCACCACCCTTCCATAGCATTCGGGCCCCGAAAACCCCCCGGGAACGAGAACGAAGGCAACATTTTGTAAAGAGGTCATTCTTACGACCGCTCACTGTTCGATGCTGGCGTGGGAGCTTGCTAGGTCGAATATATTGTTGGATTATCGATAGGACCCTTAACTGCTGCTCGGGGTTGTGAATCGTTCCAACCATACGACTCGTTGATCTGTGAGCTGGACACCGTGGCTGACGAATGGCTTGTCGGGCATGTGAACGCGTCACTAGTACGCCGTATTTTGCGGGCTCTATCTATAGAGCAGAGAAGGGTCACCAAAATTTCTTCGTTGAAACATGCGGTTCACTTGCAAACTGCTCAGCTTTCTTCCCAAGGAACCTTGGCAGAGAAAACTAGCATGAGCGTAAGTACCAAGTACATAGCACACGATAATAATGTCCGCGGAGGTTGTGGTTCCCTTCCTTGCACGAGACCCACGGGAGCATGGTGGCACGGCCTCGTCAGCTTTTGGTACTTCATTGCCAGCCACTGTGCACGGACCGGAGAGCGTACCATGGCGTGCTTTGACATACGAGGACAGTTAGATGATCTTTCGAAACTTTGTCAAATGGCCCTCTGATCACACGGGCAGTTTGCCGACACTCAACTGACTCGCCATGCTTACGGCGCTGGAGAGGTTAATAAGAAGATGGCCTGGAATCTTGGTCTAGCTCGGCGAGGACTCGGGGCCGAAACTGATGCTTAGTTTGGGAACATGTGACGAACGGGACTTGGAGCCCCATAAATCTGGAGAGGGAGAATCTCCACCATTTTCGTATTTTTCGTATTTTCGTATTTTTCGTATACTTATGGCCTTTCGGAATAGTGCACTCCACTATGGGCAGCCCCACAGGTCTAGAAATGTGCCTTTCGTGCTTGTGTTGACTGCAATAGCATTGTGCACCGGAGAAGAATGCACCGGAAAACGGTACATTACAGGAAAAGGATGCAATGGAAAATAATGCACTCTAGAATATTGCATTAGAGAAACATTGCGTCGGCAGTCTAGAAATACAAGGCTCTATTCTAGCGAACAAGGTGAAAATACATAAAGTTCGCAAGAACGCGCTGAATACATCGCAACATCTCCCATCGTTTCAACAACTATTCATCGCTTCCAATATGCCTCTCCTGACTGCACCCAAATACACAGCCGAGCAGGTCCCAGACCATCCCCACGGGGCTCCTGAACCAGTAAAGATCATTCACATTGGTGCGGGTGCCTCTGGCTTGTTGTTCGCTCACAAAGCCCGGAAGTTTTTGAAGAACTACGAACTCATCTGCTACGAGAAAAACAGCGTCATCGGAGGCACGTGGTATGAGAATCGATATCCCGGCTGCGCGTGCGATGTGCCGGCACACAACTATACCTATCCTTTCGAACCCAACACAGAATGGAGTGGGTTCTACAGCTATGCCAGCGAGATCCAAGACTATTTCGTCCGCTTCGCCAAGAAGTACGATGTTGAAAGTTACGTAGTGTTCAACACCGAAGTCAAGCAGGTCACTTGGAGCGAGGAGCAAGGCAAATGGCTTGTCAATCTGCAGAAAGCCGATGGCACTTTGTTCACCGACAGCTGCAACGTTCTGGTGAACGGTGCTGGCGTCGTCAACAGGTGGAAATGGCCCGATATCGACGGCCTACACGACTTCAAGGGGACGCTGTCTCACTCCGCCGACTGGGATCCAAACATAGATTGGAAGGGCAAAAGAGTCGCTCTGATTGGCACCGGATCAAGCTCGATCCAAATCTTGCCCGAAGTCCAACCCGGCGCTGAGCATGTGACCGTGTTTATTCGGAACCAATACTACGTTGCACCGACGGGGATCACTCTCTCCAACAAGGAGGCGGATCCTGAAGCCATGGAGCCCGGTGGTCCTTCAGCGCACCGTTACACCGAGAAGGAAAAGGAGAAATTTCGAGATGATCCCGAGTATCTCCTCCAGTACAGACGCAAGATTGAACGCCACATGGCCGCTGGTTTTCGCTTGTTCTTTCGCGGCAGTGAACAAAACCTACAGGCCAAAGCAGGCATGAAGATGTATATGGAGCATCTTCTCGGCGACAACGAGGAGTTGAAACGAAGGATCATTCCGCAGTGGAGCCCTGGCTGTCGTAGGATCACACCCGGAGAGGGATACCTACAAGCCCTCTTACAGAAGAACGTTTCGCCGGTGTACAGCCCCATTGTCAAAGTCATTCCGGAGGGAATTGTGACTGCCGACGGAGCGACGCACAACGTGGATATTTTGATCTGCGCTACTGGATTCGAAGTCCAGTTCCTCCCATGGTTCAACGTTGTTGGCCTGGGGGGACGGGTCATGCAAGACTATGAACCCAATGTCTATGGCTCGATATCCGTCCCACATTTCCCGAACTACTTCATCGTCAACGGTCCGCGCGGTAACTGGGGTCAAGGATGCTCGCTTCCTACTCATGAGGTTCAAGTGGAGTATATCATTCAGATGGTGAAGAAGATCCAAGAAGACGGCATCAAGTTCGTCCAACCCCGAGAGGATTTGACCTTCCAGCTCAATGAATACATGGATGCGTGGCACAGGAAACACTCCGTCTGGGCCGAGGACTGCAAGAGCTGGTACAAGGTATGTTTCACTACAGGGATTGCTCGAGAGACGATCACACTAACGACCACGCCAGGATAACAAGCGGGATGGAAGAGTGTATATTTGGTCTGGCAGTATGCAGAGTCTGATGAAATTCCTGAAGCGTCCGAGGCTCGAACACTATGATGTCGTGTACAAAGATCCCGGGAATGTGTTCCAGTTCATGGGAAACGGCTGGACTGTCAATGAGTGGGAGAACATGGAGACGGGTAACATTCCTGTCGATTACATCAGAAATGATGAGGATGCCCCTTACAACATCGAATAGTTGCCAGAATCAGCCGAAGAAATTAATTTGAGATATGGTCTCATCTTGCCCGCGATCATTGCGCAGTAGATTATTGTGAAGCCACAGTGCCATTCAGCCAGAGATCCTCATTAATGAAGCTCAGAAGGAGGCAATGTTCCTGGGGAGAAACAGGTATAGGCGAAACTTCACATTAATCCTATCAGCAGAAGAAGATGACAATACCTCACAGCGGTGGAGGTCTGCTAATTAGTCCCACGTCTGCGGTGGCGGAAATGTTTATGTTGGTTGAGGAGAACATAACACTCGAGACCGCCTACCAGTCTGGTCAACCCCCTGAAAGCGCCGCAGCGCAATCTGAGAACACATCCACGACAGGGTTTACAGTTATTCACGTAGATGCCCCGATGAGCGTTGACTTGACAGAGGACTGAAGATTGAAGAAGTCTACCCCAAGTGGTAATGACATTCGCCCATCTATCAATTATTGCGAATCTCTACGAAGCGATACCACGGCTTCACAAGCCAGACTGTTGGCCGAAGATTCATTGGAGACGTAAAAATTCTCCACTTGTGGTCTCGAGGGGCTTAAACGCTTAGATGGTGTAAGCATTCTAGACGATTTCTCCGTGACTCAAAGGCTGATTTGAAATCTGGGACTGGTTCGCAGTCGCTCACCGATATGGACAAGTGCGAGTGGTAATGGAACCATGGCCAACGCGATAAACCCAAGCACCGAGTTTCCCCATCCAAGGCCCAACTGTGCATAAAGCGGTCGACCTGCTAGTGGTAAGAACGCGCCTAGAGCCGACCTCACCACAGTGATCACTCCAGTGACCGAGGCAGCGTATCGAGGGTAGCAATCGATGAGGTAGGCCTGAGCAGCGATCTGGACTCTTCTATCAGCATTTCCTTGCCCAGGGTGACCAAGCCGAGGGTTCTTTTCTTCACTTACGAAAATTCCAATGTTCCCATACCCGATCCACACCGTCCCAAGGATCGGCATAATCCAATGAATTCTTTTTTCTGCGCTCCAACCATACCAAAAGAGCCCTATTGGAATGCAAACGGCGGACGGAAGCATACCCTGTAACCGTAATTCAGGCTGAGGAACGTTACCTTTGCCCATCTCTCTCCTGATAAGTCTGTCGCTGGTCGCGCTGAATACCCAGAGACCACCGAACATTCCGAGGCCAATGCCTATGAACGAAAGGCCAGCGATGCCAGCGCTGAAGTTGTACACGTATTCATACACCTCGGTGAATGTGGTGAAAAGGATATACATGTAGCCGTAGACGATACCGATATATATCTAAACTTGTCAGCTCAGCCCAGAAAGTACACCAGGATCTAGATTTTTTTTCCTACGCAAAAGAGAGGTACGATGGGAGATAGAAAAAACATCTTCGTGGGCCGGATCAGCGCGGACCAGAGAGCTTGTCGAGAATTGCCCTTAAGGCCCGCTATTGGAACATATCGACTATCCCCAGTAGTTTTCCTAAGTCTAGCCGCTTTGCGTTCGAGCAGTACGGGCGCGTACGTCTCTTTGAGGAAGGCGAAACACAACATGGTCATGACACCGGCCTGATACAGATCAGCATAAAATCGGCGCTGTACAGATTCAGCACAATAGCGTACGGCAATGGTAAGGACCCAGAAAACCCAGCGCCATCTCATTTTCTGACACAGAAATGCGCCTGCGATGGGACCTGCGATAGTTAGCCTTGTTCATCGTGCAGCCTCGGCGTTGCTGGGACCTACCAATCACTGGGCCCAACAATGGACCCATGGCGAAAGTGGACAATTTCGATCCTCTCCTTTCCCTCGGGTAGATGTCTGTAATAACTCCGCTACCTAAAACCAACGGTGCGCTTCCCGCCGCGCCTGCCAGGAAACGAAAACCGATCAGAATGTTTAGGTTGGGTGCTAATGCACACACAATAGTGAAAATCGTGAAGAGCACGTTCGTAATGTGGTAAACGACTTGGCGACCGTAGAGTTCAGACATTGGGGCGCAGACGAGAGGACCCACAGCATATCCGATGAGGTAGATTGAGATGACAAGAGTGATCAAGAACTCCGAATGGATATCGAAATCGGCCACGAGTTGCTGTACACCTGGAGCCAACATGGATGATGCGAGCGGCCTTTTGGGTTAGACATCCGTCAGC